AAGCAAAAGAAGAATGCAAGTTCTACCATGTTCTACCATGTTCTACCATGTTCTACCATGTTCTACCATGTTCTACCATGTTCTACCATGTTCTACCATGTTCTACCATGTTCTACCATGTTCTACCATGTTCTACCAACCATCTCACTCGAAAGTGCTTCACCTGAGACTTGGACATGCTCGACATCAAATCAGACTGGACAGCCATAGGCTCAACTGCCGCATGCTGCAAAGATCTGCTTACGCTGTCAGAGCTTGTTCCACTTGCACCTTTCAGGAAGGCAGCTGTGCTGTGCTAATCTGCTAATATTTTTTTCTTCTTCACAAGCCTCGATCTCCTTGGGTATCCAGCCACAACCTTCGAACTGTAGAATATCCATGCACTGGTCACAAATGAAGGCCTTTTGAGTTTTTTCCCTGAACTTGTGATTCGTCAGAAGAATTCTAGCCGCGTACCGAAAGCCAAAAGCTGTATCAAAATAAATGAAACCTCCTCACATAGGTTTTGGCCAGAAAGCTTCAAGGGTGTATATCTATACTACAGCATATACAATATCATGTGTATATATATATATGTATATATATGTATATATATATATGTATATATATATGTATATATATATATATGTATATATATATGTATATATATATGTATATATATATGTATATATATATATTTATTATATTATATGTATGATGTGTATAACCTTTCCTGGGATGAGCTTATGTTTTTCTTCTCTCTGTTGGCAAGATCCTCGGAATGCAGGTCGTCTTGAATTGCGTGGTTCCGTATGCGAATTGTGAGCTCGTCTCTTGGCTCCCTCCACTGTGGCGATGTAAGTATGTCTGTGTGCTAGTGGGGTGTCTCTTGTGGAGTGTCTTGTGGAGTGTGTTTTCGGTGTGTGGAACCAGTCTTGATCAAACATGTCCGCATTGAGTCCTCAGGATGAGTGCAGTTGGTATTACTTCCAGGTCAGGATCCACTACAGAAAGACTAGAAAGCACAACTAAGGATTTCCAAAACATTGGAAGGCTGCTTCAAAGTTTTTTGATCTGAGGTTTGCTGCTTCCTGGACCGACTGGCTGCATACTGGAGCATGTTGCTGCAAAAATGACCAAGCCTGATACTCGCCAGCTGTGAGTGCTTGCCCAGGCTACGGTTGCAAGAATACAAGCAGCCTGGAGGTGGACCCATGGTTGGCAAGAAAACAGCTATGGCGCTGTACTATGCTTTACTGTTGAAAAAAGTCTACTCTAAGACCACACAACCTGGAAAAGATGTCACCTGCCAATATCACCATCACTTACAGCCTGCAGCATTCTGTAGTTTATTGATGTTTATTGTATGCTCTGGCACAGGTGCTTGACTCGAAAAGCCGCCACCAGTACCCTACCCGGTGTCCAGGACAGGTGGGACAGTCAAAGTTGCTGCTTACCAGCTATCAAATTGTTTACTATCAAAACTCAAGCGGCTTGGGGGCGTTAAAAAGGGGGGCAAACGTTCAGCATGAAAATAGTTCCCCGCAACCCCTTGGTTCGCCCCCCCATACAAAGGCAAACACTCAAGGAAGGATGTCCACATCTTCTCAGGTTTATTTCGCGCGGCATGAAAAACACTTTATTTTGTTCGCTTTTGTTAGTCATGTTAATCTGGGCTTTGGTCGTAGGGTTTTAGATAGTTTCAGGTCCAGGGTTGCAGGGGGGAGTTTGGGGTTTTGGGTTTGTAGGGTTCACTTTTAAAAGTTTACTTAGTAATTTCCTGCGAGAAAACCGCGGGGAAAATGTGCGATATGCAAATATAGCCATGATGACTGCCAGGCAAACCTAGGGCCTAGGGGTTGTAGCAAATTAGTTAAGGCAGTTAAGGTTAAAGGCTTTTGGAGAGATTTAACAGGGTCGAAAAAAGTAAAACTTCTGGTTCTGCTCCATGCTTCCAAGGGATTTCTGGCTCTGGTGAAGGACAACCGTTGCATATGCAACGGCATTGCAAAGGGTCTCCACAAAATCAAAATTGACCAATTGCTGAAACTTGAGCCAAGGCCTGCACTGTCACCCACTGAGGTTTAACAGGTTTGCTGCTTCAAACTGCAAGAGATTGCAAGAGTCAAAAAAAGTTGAGGAGTTTGCTGAATTGAATGTAGTTTTTTATGTTTCTGTTTTCATGTCTGAAGAGCTCAGGAGTGAATCTGTTCAGTGCCGAGATTCTGGCAACAGGATCAGGCAGGCGAGCATCAGCAGCAGCCTGTTTCAGCACACTACTTGGACTCAGGTCAAGACAGTCAGCTGACAGTCAGCCGAACTCACGCTGGACAGAATGCAAGGGCGGCACTGAATTGCAGTATCCACAACCAACCACCATGTCACCATGGCCAATGAACTACCCCTCGAGGTTCAGACAGCTTCATCCGGTATCATTTGATTCCTTTCCAACGAAAACTGAAGCCAGACCTGTATCTGGTGTCGAAAGGAAGCAATGCTTCGAAGGACCTTGCATGCAACATCAATGCTTTCATCGCAAAGTATGTTTGGGCCACAAACAGCTAACACTTTAACACTGCTGTGACGCTGTGTGACATCGCCCTTTACGTCAGAGGTAAGCGGAATCCCGGCACTTGACAGTTGCCTTCAAAAAGGCAGAATGGCAAGCATCTCGGTCAGCAAGATCCTCAATCCAAGAAGCAAGGCAGGGCCACAACGGTCAGAGCTGTCCGTGGATGTTGTCACCAGGTGTTTTTTAATGAACACGCGGATTCAACCTGAGACTTGCACACCTATTTGAGCTTGTCCCTGAATGTCCAGAACACCTGCACCCAAAACAAATCGGACTGCAAGCGCTCGCATGTGGAAATCCATAGTTGATGGTTCGATTCGGTGTCAGTCTAAATCCTATGTGTGTGTATATATATATATTATGTATATATATATAGAGAGAGAGAGAGAGATGTCACTTATCTTGCATGAAAGAATCCAACGTCTATGGAAAGCTGAGAATTGCTGCCCTTTGAGGCCCAGCCTCGGTTCAGGTGCAGTGCAGTCGAAGGTGTTCGAGCACTACCCAACTGACAGGGACAAAAGGCAGAGTCTTGACATGACAGCCACGACATGCCACGACATGCCACGACATGCCACGACATGCCACGATATCCCATCCAAATTGACTTGCCCCTCATCTCGAGATGCCATGAAGCAACAGCTCCAAATCATCTCGAGTAAGGACAAGACACAAAGGGAAAAAGCTTGTGACAGGCATCTGAACAGAACAGGGCATCTTGTAGCACGACAAGGCCTGCTAAGAGTTCAAGGAGGAACAAGCTTGGAACGTGAGACTGGCCAGCCAGCCATTCTTCTGAGCCTTTTTTCTCCCGGCTCACTGTACCAAGCTTGCCCTTGATGCAGAGGCATGTTCAAACTGATCTGTGTACAGTATGTACAGTCCAGACATCAGACATCTCCAGACTCAAATGGTGCTTGAATCTGCGGTGCTATAGAACAGAGAATCTGCACTGTAGGTTCTTTATGGTTCTTTCACTATCAGAACACCAAGCGGGCTCCACCTTGGGGCATACTGTCCGTTAGTCCAAAGAAGAGAAGTGACGAGAAGTGACCAGAGTGACCTGTAGTCATAGAAATGTTCTGGTTTTCTCCACGTTTTCGCAGCTGAAATTCCAAAAATGGACAGACCAAAACTGCTACTTTCATCCATGTCGCATATTGACCTCAATACCTCATCGCATCCGTAGCTGGTCTTGGCGCTGACCAAAAAGGCCTTGTTCGGTGGAAAAGGTGACTGTAGAAACAGTTCCATGCTTGCAAGATCCAGCAAACAAACCATTCAGAATGGTTTGTTTGATCCTATTTCACCATTTTCACCCTGCCTTGCACTGGCGAACTGCCTTTGAGACAGCACATGCGGCAGCTGCTGCACTGCATTTAGCCTACGCTGGCAATCTTGATGGGAAAGGTTCTGATGAACCTGGTTGGATTCCTGCTTATGAAATCCTATGAAAAAGAAAGAAACAACAGTATCGTTGTATCATGCAGACTGGATAAAAAATGTTCCACATGTGTCAAGTCTCCATAGAAACCTGACCTGCTAGCAAGATCTAACAAGTATATATTCCATGCAATGCTTTGACCCAAATGGTGTCGGAACTCAAGACCTGATAGCAAGGTGCTCATTTGTGAATTCATCAGCTCCTAGGAACAATCGCAGATGTATATTTGTGCGAAAGACCTGGACTGCCCTTCTGTTGTACGATCTTCAGTATGTTTCCGTACAGTTTGTGGAAGCCTGTGGAAGCAGTATCAACAGATATCAACAGCATATGGCAGTATGATACGACTGATACGCAGGCCTGGACAACAGATCCATGGCTGTCAGCCATCTTTCCAGCTTCTTCTTCTTCAGGATCTGCATCTACCTGGAAGATGGGAATGCATGAAAATGGTCCAATACATCTATGGTAGCATGTAGTAATCACTAGTGTCTCCTCATGACATTGGTCATCAGCCTTTCCAAATGTAGATGATGTGTATCCAATGTTTTCTTGTGGTCAGAAGGCGAGAAAAAGTCTCAGACTTCGAGTTAGCAGTGACCGATTGATGAAATTCATGCACATCTGACAGGAATAGACAAATGCCATCTTGGAGGACTGGCTCTCAATGGCTCTCACCTTGTTCACCAACAGAACGACAGGTGCTCCTTCTGGAAGATGAGCAAGTGCCGCACTAAATGAATGCGTGAAAGCAACCTGCAGAATGCTTCAAGATGTTTCACGAGTCAAGAAATGTCAAGAAGTACAGTATCTCACAGTATCTCTGCTTTGTCCAAAGGAAGCATCAGGAATCCATGTTTTTCAGTTTATTTTTGGAATAAGAAAGAGGGGGACAACGTTCAAACGCAGAAAGGCTTCATCACTGCACTAGCCAATTATGTGTGCAAACAAACAACGCAAGCTTGGGAACAGGAAATTCCCTTGTGTCAAAGCCTGGACTTTTAATGCATTTGGGCAGCCTCGTCAAATTGCTCGCTTCCATCAACCACGAATGCGAGCACATCTGTAGCAGAAATGTGCCTGGTAGACAGAACAAAATAGAAGCATCGTAGAGTCTTTGCGTGGGAATCTGTGGGAATGACAATCTCATGTTTTACACTAAACTCAACATCAAATCTGATGTGTTGATTGCTTCCAAGGGTGCTCATCCCATAGACCGCGCGCAGATCCCAATGCCAGAATTTGCAGTTGCATCTTCTCAAAAGGTCGCTCAAGAGATTGCCAACCTGCTTGGAATGGAGGTTCCTTTGACTTCATGAAAATGAAACGATGAAAATTGAGAATCTGAGAAAGCTCTGATCTCGCAGGTATTTTGGACGGCCTTGACTCGTTAAAGGTTTTGACCCTCAAACACCGAATCCGAAATTTCTGGATCTTTGAACATGTCTGAACATGACTGAACCTGGATTGCTTGGCTGCTCCATGCTGTCCGTGGTCCAGCGACTAGCTAGAGACTTTGCTCCACTGCCCGGCATGCCAACCACCACCACCTTGACTTGTTTGAGATCTCCTCGGGGAAAACAACTGCACACAATTCGTGTGAACGTATTTTTTTCAGCCAAATTGTGCATGATATTTTTTCGAACCTCAATGACTGACCTTTTTTCGATGCCCGACCCATTTCCCATGTCCTCCATGAGCGCTCTGCGAAGACCCCATCCAGACTTTTGCAAAGTGGAAACGTGAAAAAAAAAACAAACAACATTTTGCGAATGGTCTAAAGATGTGTGTATTGGTTATAAAAGTGCCAAACAAAAAATATTCAAACACTTTTCTTCAAGGTATGATGCGGTTGCAACACACTGTGAAACATTGTTTACATTTTGCAATGTTTTGATGGTGCAACATACACTTTGCTGCTCGATTTTGTTGATGTTTCAGCCAATTGCTGCTCATTTCGGGAATGAAATTGATACAGAACTGTACGGTGAAAGAAACTGAAAAATTGTCACACATCATTTCGACATTTGTCCGCGCCTCAGAGGCCAAATTCCTTGAGCACGGTAAACACGGTGCTGTATCAGGAGATTGTCCAAAACCTTCAGGTCTCGGAACCTGGCGATTTGATTGGTGATTTTGTGACGTGCAGCAACGACTGACAGTTGCCAGATACATAACAAAAAATCAACATTCGCAAACAAACAGAAAAAAAATCAACCCCATAGCCACGACTTGTGTGATGCTGGAGGCGATGAAAATTGCATGATATTCAGTTGCCCTTCTTGAAAGATGAATGGCAGCATAGATCGGTGCATGCAACCAACAAGTTCCCAAAAAATCGCAAGTTGAGGGAGCAGTTAATGTGACAACAACATTGTTTTTGAATGTTTCAACTACAAATGATGCAAAGTTACTTTGATTTCAATGATGCTGTTTTAGTCTCAACAAAAGCGGCACCCGGTCGAGCAAAGCAAACAGCTGAATCGTAAGAACGTAAGTACACATCATCGTCAGCCAAAATCGACCCAATCCGCACAGGAAACAACGTATCCAAAATCAGCACGGCCAAATATAGCGAAAACGACTGAAATTCGATGTAGATTTGCCAAACCCACGTTTTGACTGAAAAAAATGGGAACGCACATGTTGAACACAAACATGAGAACCCATCGTTTACAAGCACACGCAATCGCAACCACCAACAATCCACTGACTAAAAACCAAACGCATGCCATACTGCAAATCTTTTTGGAACCGAAAGCGCCTCAAGAATGCACAGTCAATTGAACATGTCGTATGTGACATCAAACTGCTGTGAACTGCTATCTGCACATGAATGTCAACTGAGTCCAAGGTGAGTAAATAACAATCACCCCACCTCAGTTCGCAGCTTTGCTGCTTTACTGCCATTGCTCCTTAGGACTCTTGTCAGTCCGTGTTGTAGCTTCTATTGGAGCAGTTGTTTTGTGAAACTATTTCGACGCTGTTGCCAATGACGAGAGTCTTCTGTCTCATCCTAATGACAAACATCTGTGGCGTCATTGGAAAATTTGCCTCTCTCACTGTCTGAGTTCTTCAAAACTCTTGCAGCTCATCTGTTGTTGCGTTAGTGGTGTTCCTCGATGGCTGTCCATAATGTAGATCAGCCCATGCATCTGGGTCACTGACTTCTCCTTGTTCTGCATTTTGGTATCTTGTCATCCTCTCTGATCTTGTTTCCTCGCGCATTGACTCGTCTGAGTCGGGTTCTGCAGCTTCTGGTTCTTTGAAGATCTCTGCAAAGGTGCGTAAGAGATCCATTGTCACTTCAACCCTTTGAAGTTCCAGAAGTCTGATAATGCACCGGTGGACATCCTCATGGCTTGTTGAAAGGAGTCCACGTTCGTCTTCTCCAAGACCATATGTGGGTGAATTGTCATCATCTGACAAGTCGTACTCTTCGCTCAAGGCATTCAAAGTCTTTTCTCTGTCCTCTGAGCTTGCAGTTGGCAGGTGTTGTAAGCATCTTTCCAACCATAGTTGCATCTGCTGATACCTCATAGCTGCACCAATGTTTCCACTTTCACTGGCGCGACGTAGTCGTCCACGTACTCGAACAAATGTCCAAGTGACCAAACCTTCCAAGCTTGTGTATTCATGAGTCACCTGTGGGCCCATGAAGTTGGACAAAGTATCAGGCAACAGTGGTGGTGGACTGTATTTGAAGTCCATGCTTCGTCGCATCATGTACCATGAATACCCAACCAACAGCAAAGTCCAGGTCATCAGAAAAGCTGTTCCAAACCAAGAGCTGTGTGAGGTTGTAGAACTATCCAAGTTGCAACCTTGGAGTTGTGTGGCCATGAGGCCCTGTAGATTCACCATGGCCAAGTGGCCAAGTCTCATGCGGTGAGATCGGTTGTCCTCACCTTCTGTCATGTCCTTTGTAGGACTGCTTTCATGGCTGCTAATGTCATCGATTGTATTCAACATTTCTGTGGCGGCATCTCGATCAGCATCATTTGCAGCTCCAATGAAGTTCATGAAATCTGCAAGAAGTGCTCGACGTTGGTTGTAGGCTTGTGCACGAACTGCGTCACCAGCCTGTGTTGCATCCTCATAACGTCGATTGCACCTTTCGAACATCCAACTGATCATTCCCTCTGGAGAGAAAGCAGGAAAATCGTCAGTGTCTTCCGTGGTTTCTGTCATGATGCTTGCTGTATCAGCATCGTCAGAGCCATCCATGGAGTCAAAACTGGGGCTATCCGGCGTGCCCTTTCTGACATGTCTGCATTGTGACATCCAAAGCAGGTAAGCACCAAGAAGTCCAACCCATGCTGCTGTAAAAACGTAGGGGACTTCTAACATTTCTGTCGCCATTGCGTCACACCCTTGAAGTTGAAGGGTCAGCAGGCTCAAGGCGCCTATCAAAACTCGAAGTTGTGAATTGCGACTTGAAGTTGATGCAGCTTGCTGTGGAAAATGTCTGAAGATTCTTCCTGGGTCGTCTGATCCTACCAGTTGGTTTTGTGAGTGGCTCCAAAGCCCAAAGAGAAACATCAATGAGTCCAGCCTGGCAATTGAAAGTCGTTTTGTTGAGACATCTGCTGGATTGATTGTTCCCAAAACTGCTTTGACTTGCAACATCTTTTCAACAACTAAGTTCTGGAGCCAAAGTACCCTGCAGCTCAAATGCCTGAGTCTTCCAACACCTCGACGTGACAAGACTCCACGCGCTGCAGATGAATCCAAGTACAAGTACATGAGAATGCGGACTTGGAGCAACCAGCAAAGAATAGTTCTGATGAGAATTGCATCCATGACAGCTGAAGCGGCAGCATATGTTTCAGATTCAGCGCTCGAAAGTGACACGATCTTCTGGGTCCTCGAAGATGAGTAAATCAAACATCCTCCATAGAAGATTGCACTGCCAGAAACCGATCTGCGTGTGTTTCTGTCAGCAGCCCAGTCTGCGTCACTGAAGATTTCCAAAACAGGTTCTTCACATTCATAGTCGCGCAACAAACCTGTGTGCATGCCCTTCCATTTCAAAGAGACATATTGGTCAGAGTGACCTGCCATGTACCCAACCAGGTGCTTCAAGACCACCATAGCTTTGTGAGTGGGTTTTGATGCACATGTTGAGAGATACCTGATCACGTATTGACATTGCGGCAAATCTGGAGACAAGTACAGCAAGATCCCAATGCAAGATCGATACACTGAAGCATCATGTTGGTTCAGCTCCTCAGTGGTGTCTGGAGTCTCAATCTCGCTGTGGCCAGGAGATCTCTTGTTTTGCAAACGTTTTGACAAATGAAGTAACTTGCAAAGCTGATCCAAGTGTTTGGGATGGATTCGAATGATCATCCTCCCATCTGACATCAACTGGTGGGTTTTCTTCAAAAACGTCACCTCATCACCTGGTCCAGACATGATTTCAATGGAAATTGTGTACTTTGCCTGCAATGAAGGAATGAGTTCCTCTAAGACCGTCTTTCTGCATCCCACGATGAGAATGTCATCGATGTGCACCAACATCAAACAGTCACCTTTGGCTGAGCGCAACATTGACGGGTAGGCTTCATTCTCGGCCATTTTCAAGCTGCTACTTTCGAGAAACTTCACCAGATCTTTGTGCCATAAGAGGCTACCATCGCGTTGACCTGGCAGAACTCGGCCAAGACTGTAGGAAATTGAGATTCCACTTGCGTTAGTGCACCTGACACGTGTTGGCTGCTCTTGCGCAACTGTCAAGAAGGCATCCTTCACATCAATTGCAAGCATCAAGGTTTCTTGATGTTCCTTCAAAGCAAGAAAACAAATGGGCAAGATTCTTGTTGCAATGTTAGAGGAAGCCGGTGAGAATAAGGCTTCTCTGTCGGGTTGCAACCAAGTATATTCCCTTGCCACAAGTCTGCTTCTTCTCAACCAGATCGCATTGCCTGCATCATCCTTCTTTTCACGCCAAGTGCGCACAAAACGTGTGCTCAGGCACTTTGCGTCAGCAGGTAGGGTGTCTTCAAGCAAGACATGAAGACCAAACAAACGTTCAATCTCAACTTGGTCTGCAATGCTGTCCAGTCGTTGAAGTTCATCAGATTCAAGCTGTGGTTCTTGTGGACCATATGGAAAGCTGAGTTCTTTCATGCGGTTGCTGAGCTTTGAAACAGGTTCATATGGATCTTCATCAAGATTCAACTCATGTTGCAGCATGACATCAAAATCTTGGTCTTGTAGAACAACATCGGGTTCAATGTCCAAATGCTCGATTTGTCGCAGTTGTCCAAGCAAACTGACACTGCCTGGACCATCGCCATGCTTGGCAATCTTGTTGGGAGACATCATGTCTTCAAATGATGTGTCATCAACTAAATCACGTCCAGCTTCAGACTGTGGTGTCTGTGGCACAACATCTCCATGAGGCATCTGAGTGTCAACTGCTTCAGAGTGAAGACGCTTTGAATCCCCACCTGAGTCCTCATGTTCTGCATCGCGCTTATTAGATCTTGGTGCATCAGATGATGCTGCAGCTGTGCTTTGTTCAGGCACAGGACCAATTGTTGCTGATCCTTCATCACCTTGCATGTGGATCGGTTGTTGCTCACCAGGCTTATTTGTGATGGGTACCGCAGTGTCCCCCACCTCAGCTGATAGAGCTTTGGCATCCACGTCTTCATATGGATGTGCCCTCGCATAGTCACGTACTGCCAACGCATCTCTGTCACCCAGATTGAGTGTAGTGCCAACTGCAACCCCTGGAGGA